GTAAGCATGAAACTTTTCAAAGCAATGAGTACCATATTTCATACACACTGACATACTATACATGTATACGACATTAGCAGTTACTAATGCTAATTATGTCCACTCCTAACAAAAAATAACATGATTTTGCACTGTCATTCATGCACATATGCTTTGTCTGTATTACCACACAGGTCATAAACAAGATTATGATATTTTATAAACTAAATTCTTATTGCTTAGCACATTATAAACATTGACATCTGATAGTAGATCAGTAAACACTGATCTAAACATTCCTAGACTGTAACATTCATCATGATGCAGTGTTAACATTCACATTACTTTATATCTATATCGTATTATATCTCATATTTGTATTATATGATAGCAAAACATTTACATCCTCGTTTCGTACGACATTTAGCCTATATGTAATAAGTTGCCTGTATATACTGTATATGAATGTATATCATATTTCAGCAAATTTTACTCGCTTTCACACATTTCAGTTTGCCATAGTTTAAAGCCCAACTAGTAAAATGCATACAAGTTTATGTGAAAATAACATGTTAACTAATGTAATTAAGAATAAATTACAGAAATGATATCCTCCGCTGAATAAAGCCGCGTCAGATCACGCGGTTCTTCTCAGGTAAATTCTGGCTTATAGCAGGTCTTCTTCCAAAAACGATGAAAAGTAGATGAATTTTGATTTTTACCTCGCATTGGTTTCATATGGATTAAATAATCAGATAATTTGTTTTTGATTTGAATTGTTTCATTTAAAAGTAGACACTTCAAGTTTTCTATAGACATATTTCTCACGTCTGTGTGTCTAGTATTCGCAGAGTTTTGGTTCATTTTTGTGACGTGTTTCAGAAAGAAGTTCACGGAGACCAAAACAGCAGAAAGCGCACCCTGTTTGTTTAGTTTATTTTACAAAAGCACAATGTTTTGCTGTTATTGTCAGTAAACACAAATAAAAGTAGACCCTTTACAGATTCGATTGATGTCTTAGTCTGATCTGTATCTGAGTATTTTAGGGTCTTTTCTCTGTCA